GCGGAGGGGGTGGGGGGGAGCATGCGGCGCTGAGGCAGGTGTTGCTGTTGTTTGCGCATCGCCCGTGAGAGATGGTTTGGCAGGATGGACACTGAGAGAACCCCATTGCAACCCCATTGTAGTTTCCCATGTACACTGCAATTTTGCTTTTCAAAATAGATCCTTTATTTCGCGCTGGAAACCAAGTAAACATCGCCATGGTGCACCACTCGGGCTCAATCCAGTCCTTCAAGCAGCAGAAAGGTTAGTCGCTTGTCTGTGTCGATTTCGCATCCAGTAACGCTTTATTTCTGAGCTGAGCGTGTTGTGTGGCGACTTTTCCTATGTAGTTAAATAGTTTGTGCATCTGAAATGGGACTCTTTACTTGCTGGAAGTATGACGCAGAGTTGGAAGTCTTGCAGCCTCCTCCTCCTCCTCCTCCCGCAAGGATGAAGCCTGATTCTGAACCTTGTGCTCTGATATTGTATCCACGACTTTGTTACATTGACTGTATTACCTAAGTCGTTATTGCGTAGCAGGCTCCAGAGATCCACCTACAGCAGTTACACCCACCTTACATATGCCTACTGTATATATTTATCAGGAATTGTTCAAAAATTTTAAACATTACAAGTTATTTCAACTACATTTGGATGGTTACAGTTGAAGTAATGGGAATTTGGGGAATGTTTTAGTCATGTTTGAGCTTTGAGTGATTCACAGCAGCACAAGTAGACAAATTTAAGAAGTGATAACATTATTCTGAGCTTTGATGAAAGCTCAGAATAGCTGTTTCATACAAATCTCTTCTGGAGCATGTGGACAAAGGTAACATGGCTTCTTTGTTTCCCCACACATGTCAGGAATTGCTGCACTCAGGCTTTGTGGTTTTGACAGTAATAAAGAAATTATTCCAGGCTGTTGAAAAGTTCCTGCCATGTAATCAAATAGAAAATGCATCACCACTCAGCAAGTTATTAAAAAAGTAATATGAGACATCGGAGCCCATGTCATATTGACGTGTTGCTGACATCTTCACTGGCAGTAACAGCATCATGTCATACACTGTACAGTGGAAGAAATAGATTTAGTCTCCAAACATTTGAACAAATTTCATCAAATCTAAAATTAAAAACATATCAAGTGCTCAATCTTTCCATTACAGCTAGATTACACTGATGTGCTTGTATTGATTTTAAGCCCCAAGCAGGGAGCTTTGGAAAACATTAGTGGTTCTTTAACACTTTCTGTAAATTATTCATGTGCCAGTGTCTAAATTTAGATAGGTGGTAAAGAAAGTTCTTGTTTTCCAGGCTCACAAATGAACCTATATCTGAAGAAGAAGTGTCTCTCCCCTGGCTTCTGATGTGACGGTGCTGAGCTGAGCGGCTAAAAATCTCCTGACTGAGGAACACCCTGCTGA